CGGCGGCCAGCCCGTGCCAAGGGGCAGGGGAGGCTGCAGGCGCAGGTGGTGCTGGGCAGGCAACGCAGCTCGGGAGTGTGGGAAGCGAGGGGGACTGAGGTAACAGCAGTCCTGCCAGGCCCGGCCCCATCTCCGCTCCCGTGCCCAGACTTGGGTGCCAGCTCTGGGCTGTCCTTGTAGCCGGAGATGCTCCGCTGCCCAGATCTGCAGTCCAGTGGCTGTGAAGCTTCCTGCCGGCCGGGGTCTACGAGGGTGCTGCTGTGGGGAGCTGAGTCCCTGCAGGACAAGGTCAAACTGTGAAGTCCAGCTCTGCTCCCTCCTCCATACCTGGGATGCTCACCCACCTGGTCTCAGGCAGACAAACACACATACCTCTCGTCTAGGAAGTTGTTTGCTGTGAGCAGTGCAAAGTGGGATGAAAGTGCTCTTATTTCCCTCTGACCTTACTGCACCTGGAGCACTTGGCATCCCCGAGACTTGTCCACCAGGACCTTTTCCTCCCAGTATCTCTGCAGCTTTTGTCCCTGTATCACAGCACGCGGTTCCACAGGCTGAGAATACAACGAGAAAACTGTAGGAGCAAAGTGCTTGGAAGTCAGGAAATTGCAACATCAGTGCTGCACCCACAGGTTTACCTCTGGCCTACTGGAAGCCTGTGTAACTGTACAGCTGTCTGAGTACAGGTTCACACATCTCAAACAGCAAGTGGTCAAAAGCATGCAGTATTCCACATTTACAGTTGTTCTACTGTGGGATAAAGTCAAATTGACACACAGCTATCCATTAAGGTTATTGTAGAAGTTGCTCGGACAGAACCTCCCAATTAAAGGTAGATTTCTGGTTATTGGATCTGACTTTTCTAGTCTGTATAATCCAGATAACTTTGTTACATCCTGCACATGCAGTTTATCCTCTGCACATCTTCCTCCCCCATACATACTATATACTAATCTATAGTCTTGCAATGCAGTCTGTTCCTCTGCTAATCAGATTTTGTGGGAAAAGCTACACTTTCATGGCTGGATATACAAGCTAGGACACCTGCTGTCCCCTGGGATGTGGTGTCTTCAAGGAGCTTACAGACCTTTCCCTGGTGTGGGACATGACTTCGTAGATAAAACATCTGGAGGAAATTTTGCTCATGACCATCTACTTCCTTCTCTTTCTCTCTCTCTCTCTCTCTCTCCTTACTTGCAACTTCCGAACATCCCTATGGCTAGTACATGTTTAGAAAAGTAAACTTGGGAAACACATATAGATATAGTGGTCTTTTTTTTTTTTAATGGCATGTAGTGGCTGCAAACGGAAGAGGAGCTATTATGATCAGCCATCCTACAAGCTACCAGTGGTTCTCCAAACAGAGTTTGGTAACAACTGGTCTATTTTTTTTCTATTCTTTCATTGTATCATTCACTGATATAATCTAGGTAACTGTCTTAGCTCTGAATTGTTCTACAGGTTGGATTTTCTTTCTTTCTGCAGCCTGCAAAAATAGGATGTCAGTCTGGGCTACAGCAGATGTTGAGCCCACCTATAATAATGAGGGTCCCTCTCTACAAGCTGCTGTGCTCCTCCTTCCTTGCAGTGTCAAATGCTCTTGACAGCCACTGAAATCAACAGATGTTAAGGCTACAGAGGCGTCTCCAAGGGTTGGCTACATAATTTTCCCTTTAGGGTCTAACCCCAAGCCCACTGGCATTGATGGGAAGGTCTGTAATAATCCTTTGTGCTCCTACAGACCTCTTCATTAAAGAACTTTGAAAGGCACCATAGAACTGGTGAACTCAGCTTCCCACCACCCTTGTCAAGCAGATGTTTCTGCTGTGACATATGAGCATCTTCTGTTGTCATCGGCTGCCATCCTGCAGGCAGAGGCAAATCTTGGATCAGTTTGACAGGATTATTGCTGTCAACAATTGATTAGTATTCAGTTCCGTCTATCAGATGCACCAGCCTGGCTTCTATTTTCTGTGGTGCGGAGGGTTTGTCTTGGATATCACCCATTTCCCTTGAAGCTTCTTTAAATAGGCCCCAGCCTTGAACTGTGACAGGCTGCTCCCAAAAGATTCTGCATTTGTGCCCTTTTTATTTTCCCTTCTTTATGGTGTAAAAACAAAAGCCTGAAAATTCTTAATATTTCTTCAGAAACATCAGGCAGATCTGTTTGCAACTACATGGCTTTTGTGGACACCTCCTTGAATAAAATATGGGTCAGAGTATTCTTTAGCTCTTCACTGAAAAGGCTGGAAGGATTGAGCAGAGCTTAAAACTAGAAACAGAAGTGTAACTACTCTGAGCAAAAATTGTATCTCCTCTATAAACTGGGGCTCATTACAGTAAGATTGTGACATTGAAAACATTAAGGCATCTCTGGCCCATCCACAGGATGCCTTGCCTGTGCTGAGTGATTGTAATTCTAAATTGAAAAATGTGCAGGGGGAGAAATAATTTGAAAACAACCCATGAGCACCTCAGAGCTTCCTGGCTGTCTTTCTTCACCCTCAAGAAATGCTCACATATTAAACAATATGGCTGTTAAACATTGACTGTCTTTTCGAACTGCAAGTAACTTATTTGCCCTCCATTTAACTTTGCTAAAGGCTATATGATGCATCATTTCCTCTTGATATTTGGCTGGTCTTCCTCATTTTATGACACCCGCTCAGAAGGGATTGGTTGGGTTTTTCTCCTATCAAGGGAAGAGAGGGATTCCCAGGTAGATCCTAGATAAACCAGCAGGGCATTGTGAAACTTCTTCGGACAGGTTCACTAGGGCTTATTGGGAAGGACAGTCACATGGCAGCAGTGCAGGGGCTTCAAATCTGTAATCAGGTGTTGTTTTTTTGTCACTGGACTCTCCAGCATTTGTAGTTACTGGAATTGGTTGAAAATAGGGATTTCTGTTCCATAAGAAATCCCAGTATTTCAAAATCTGCTTTTGCCTTGGGTTGGAATGACTGGTGATACTACTGAGATGATCCATGGACTGGAGAGTGTGTGGAAATCTTGCATTGGGAAGTTCTGTTTCAGCACTTCTCTTTTTTGTTCTTTCTGAACTGAAATTTTGATTTTGTTGATTAGGTCCCCTGAGCCCCTCTTCTCTATGGGCTGCAGCCCCCAGCTGGACGACAAGTCCTGTGCTACATTATAGCTGGGTTGTTGGTTATAGTTGTGTTGGTCTAAGGCAGGGTTCCCAATGTTTGTGCGCCCAAGGGCACATTTGAACTTTGAAAGAATTTTTTTGAAAGATTTTTACTGATCTTGAAAATGTGTGCAGGAACCTGAATAAACTTGTGGGGGGGGGGGGCACCATGGCTCCCACGGCTCCCACGGGCGCCGGATTGAGGACCACTGGTCTAAGGACATAGGCAGGCAAGGTTTTTTGGGTAGATGTGTTATCTTTTATTGCTGCATTTATAGCCACACTACTCTCCCAGGTTCCATATAGGTTCAATTGGAGAGGAGACAGCATTGCATGCTGAGTTGTATTGTCCAGCCAGGAAGCCCATATCAGGGAGAAAAAATGGGAGTGTGATCCTTTGCCTCTTGCTTGTTAATTTAACAAGATAAACACCTTTCAGGGGGTTCTGGAAACATCAGCATGCAAACTGAAGGCCATTTTGCCTAGTGGTTAGACTTGGGCATCACAAAAGCTAGACTCTGTTCCTGGATTTACCCAGGAACA